GCGTGGTGGCCAGATCACTACCCGGTGTTCCTCGCATTACCAAGACGATAAGCACTCGATTGTTAGCTTCAACTGCATACCAGCGTAGCAGGTCCTGTTAATAGCAAAGCGTCGTAACCAGGAGAGGCCACACTTTCTATTGCATCGCGAGCAACTGTCAACAGCGCCACCATCATGGCAACTGGACTCATGGAGCCGGAGACACGCTTACCATGATTCTCGAAAGGGCGACGAGTCTTCTTTTCCCTATGGCTTCAATGGCTTGACTTGGTCACAGGATGGAGCCCCGACGGCCACCAAAATAATATATGGTCCGGATGCGTCGGCTCCAAAATCGAGCGCCTACCCTATGAACAAGTAGGTTACAGTGGTGGCCAACATAATTGGGATTCCACCATGATGCCGAGGATCGATTAATAAAGGGCGGCTTTTCTTTGATTCGGAGCCTTTCCAATCACGGTCCCGGTGTCCTTTCGTGCTTCCCGTTCTTCGACCTCTGGTGTCTCCGCTCTGTTAGTCGGAGGATGTTGGATCGATCTGCTACGGCCACGCCATCTCAGTAGCCGGTCGGTGGAGGGGTACTGGTTCAAAACACGCGATGTTTTGGCTGCTTCGGCTGATGCATACAACAATCGGCATCCTGCAGGATTCGAAATATACTCTTGAATGCCCGTCGCCTCGCGCATGGTCGAGAATCATCTCGTTGATAGACTGGACCCTGATTGGCCAAACCGATATCGCTAGGCAGACAGCAGCCGTCAAATTGGAGATAGAACATGGCATATGTCGAGAGCTATGGACGTTGAGGGGATTTGAAGATAGATTTGCTGGTCGGATTACACTCTCGACTAGACGGAGGATGGACATTCAAACGGCACTCCACCGCACGCTGGGACCCAACACTCCTTATACCCGCTACGTCGTCCCGTCGCCTACGGCTGGTCCTTAGCATAGTACAATGGGCAACAAATTTCGAGATCATTCATCCCCAAGATACTACCCGAAGTAGCTAGACGGTGAACGTTTTGATACTGTCTCTCCTCCTTCCCCATCTTCTCGGGATCCCCAGGCGCACCGGCCCACCTTTGCTCCGTGCAAAATCTTGGTCCCATCATTCATCTCCAGTTGCTGCATCATCAGTTCTCGACGCCCGGTCCACATGAGGGCAATTTTGACCCTTCTAATTGGGAAGTGCGCGAGACGAAGCGTGACACTGGGTGGGGAGTTAGGCGCTACTCAACTTCATGTGGACCACAGGCGGGTTGGCTACTGCCTAGGTCGTTGAGCTTGTCCAAAGAGGAACTACTCCTAGTAAGCCGGTTGTGTCCGTCGGTCCATGGGACCACATAGCGTCAGCACAGAAAACCGCTCACTCTAAATACAGGAACTAGCATCACTATCCGAGCGTCCACGTCTGCCGTTGCAATTGCACGATGAATCACTTGATAGCTGTCATGGTGAGTGGAGATTATTTCATTTATATATCACGAGCAATTGTCATTTACACGCACCCTATCGGACGCCAGCCAATGTAGGCGCTCTTCATTGTCAAACAAAGGAAAAGAGATTTGTGCTTCCAGTTCGGTGATGATGGTTTTGGTGGTATATTTTACAAGTTGCTCGCTGTGACAAGGTGACCGAACACCTCAGCAACAGTGAATGTTTTCCCTTCTTCCATCGTTACACACAAGCCTGAAGGCTATGCTACGAAGTCCCTCTCGTAGACGGTTTCATGCCCCTGTCTATGATCCGTCCCCTCGTCTATGACCGTCTATTATTCTATGGTGGTTTTTTCCATCGGACATATTGAGACGCGATGTCGTATTTATGATACAGCGGCTGGGTTTCTCGAATCGTGAATCTCACATAATCGAGGAAGGAACGGGATCCCGAGCCTCCATAAATGTGGGTATTAAGGCGTTTAGGTCTGATAAGAGTTAGTATCGGTACTAGTGGGTCAACCATTTGTTTGCGGGATATACGTACGAACTTGGCCATGAGGGCAACCATCAGATCGAAAAGACCGATGGCCTCGACGAAGGCGAAACCCAGAATGGCGTACGAGAAGAGCTGGCCACGGAGAGCAGGGTTGCGGGCAACACCGTTCAGGAGAGCGGCGAAGACGAGACCGATACCGATACCAGCACCGGTCAGACCAATGGCGGCAGAGCCCATACCCAAGTTCTTGGAGACCTCAACCATGGCCTGAGCAATCTCGGAAGAGTAAGCGCGGCGCTGGAAAGCCTGGCGGCTGGTGGCGCTCAGGATCTTGGAGGCCTGCTGGCGCTTAGCAGCCTGGAAAGGTGTGGCATTGCCTATGGGAATGGTTGTCAGACGTCAAGCTTCCCCAACTCTGATAGGGCGGTCGTCCAATCAGTTCGACAGGGACTTCGGAAAGAACGTACTGGTGATGGTGCGCTTAGCAGCAGTGTTGGCGAAAGAAGCGCGGACAGCAGGGCGAGCGACCTTGGTGCCCATGGAGGCAAAGGCGCGGGAAGCGACGATACGAGCGGAGGCCATTGTGATGGTTATAGGTGATGGAGATGGAGAGGGGAGGTGTCGAGCGATGAAATGACAGGCGAGTGAGCTGATGGAAGAAGAGATAGGAGCTTGGGGAAGAGGAAGAAAAGCTTCTTGACGGTGCGGCAGAGGAGAAGAAAAGTTTGACGGAGCTCCAGGGAACCGACAGAATAGTTGTTCCGGGGCTGGGCATTGACCACCAGCTGGTATCGGCACTGTGTCTGAGGAAACGAAGCTGAACTGTGGGCTTGAATGGAACCCACACAGCTTCGATAATAGGTAGGGACACAGGTGACAAGTCGCGACAAACTTTTTGCTCTACTGGAGGCTACCCAAAGCAGACAAGGCTGACTGGTTTCATTGCATTACAGGGATATCGGGGTTTTCCGGATGCTGACCGGTAGGGTCAACCCGACCTCTTTATTCTTGGCTCCAGGTAGGCAATGGATGTGCGGCTTTTTCGTACTACCGTCCACCGAGAGCAAGCTACGTACAAAGGATGGGGAACACCTGAGCCCAACAGCGAAGATAGGTATTCAACGTCAGAGCGACGATAGCGACACAATCATTTGGGCTGTGTTGGATAGATGGGGGATAGTACCCCGATGAGAGCGCTCAACACTATTGAGAGACGCCAGACCCCGGAGGTGAGGGAAAAGAGAAGTACAGGTACGCAGGAGATAATAATATGAACCCCACTGACTAAGTTGGGTCCTCCACTTGGTGCTGTTTAGTGAATGAACAAACAGGAGCCTAGCTGGTATCGGAGTGAGCCCATAAGTAACAGTACACGGGTGGTGGAGCTTGTCTGGCGATAAGATGATACAGAGTGAGAGCGAAACAGCATAAAAAGGGGGAGGCATCCTCGTTAGCACGAGCGTAAGGACGAAGCATTGCTGCTTCGAGACCACAGCATCTCGCTGCACATTGACGTGTCATTGTGCCATCCTGGTATCTCAACGGGCATATGAAGCTCATCTCGCACAAAGACGGCAATCCGCTGGCTTATTTCGGGAGACTGGATGAAGCAGCCAATAGGAGTGGGCGAAAACGTTCTCGAAGTCCTGCGATCCGATCCTGCCAGTATTCTTCGGCTTGACAGACAGTACCGTACCTACGTACATTGGCTGCATGTCGGTGCATCGCCAACCCCTGGCCTGCCAGCAACTGGCCAGCATGGAAGCAGGGAAGGTAGCCCAGTACCAAAGCTACTCTTCGGCAAAAGGGGAGCTACCGGAAGGGGAAAAGGCCTCTCCGGTCCCAGGAGATTGGGAATTCTGAATTAAATGTGGGCACCTTGGCAGCCCAGCTTTGGGAGGGAAGGAAAAGGAGAAAGGAGGAGGCTTTTTTGGTTTTGTTGCTCATCGCAGGGTCATCGGCGAGTCATGGGCCACCATTGAGCCTCAAATGCAACCCCGAACAGAAGGAGATACGACGGCGACGGCGACGGTGACGCAAGTAAGGTATGTACCTATCAGAGAGAGCAGGTAAGTTTTTTCTTGTTACCTAGGTACGTAGAGTAGATGCAAGAAAGGTTGAATTGAGTTTGACTACACTTAGTCGACTTGAACTACGTAAAATCAAGGTTGCATGTTCATGGGAGCTTGAATTTACCAGGACGGGATTGAAGCGCAAAGTGGTTGCCGGCTGCGTAGGTGGACAAAAATTTTCTCATGCAGCTGACGCGAAATGACGGTGAGATCTGTCCCGTATGCAGATCTCGGGGGGACGGGAGGCTACGCGATTACCGGGGTTCAGGCGATGCCAAGCCATGTCTGTCTCGTCTCGGCTTACCTAGGTAGGTAGTGTAGCTACTTGGGTACCCAGCTAGGTACATCGCATCAGCTAAGCTACAGCATGCTATAGCGTGCTACAGCGTGCTACAGCTCTTTTCTCCGAGCTTGGATAGCCGGAGCTTGAGCCCATCTCAGGTACCTCGGTATGGGCTTGTTCACTCCCAATTAAGCTTTGGTATCGGCCAGGGGCACCTTGATATGCATCCTTCTCATCCTCGGATATCTCGGTGCAGTGAAATGTATGACTCTGAGTTCCTGCTGATATGGATTGACTCACAGCGACAGCATTTTAGACCTTATAGTAGATAGGTATTAAGCTGCCTCTAGCCGCTTTGCATATGCTGTCACACAGTATTAGTATGTACTATGTACGTAGTACCGTCCTCGAGGATCATGAATGTTAGTGCGCGCCACTTACCAGAGGCGGTTGTACGTAGGTGATACCGTAAATTCTCATACAAACGTCGCCCGACCTCTCACAGCGTTACAAAATCCTTGGTATGTGTGACGCACTACCATTCATGAACCTAGGTAGATAGTTATCCGCCCAACCCAAGATTTTGCCCGGCAAAACGATAAACCAAACAGTTTAAAGCAATTTTCTTTTCGATAAGAGAAAAAAAAACCCTAAAAGGCTAAAAATTTCTTGTTATAACCCGAGGTAAGAGTTATAGGATTCTTAAACGACCAGCACGGGACTCGAACCCGCAATCTTCAGCAGTTCCAACTAAGCATGTTGCCGGAAACTGACGCGTTGCCATTACGCCAACCGGCCTGTTGTGTTTAATCCGATTGTCGGAAGATGGAATTTCCGTGTCTAAACTTTACCTATGTTGCATCTAAGCATGACGGAAACCCTTTTCGTCCTTCTGCCATATCACTGAGGCTTGCCATTATCTATAGGTGGGATTGAACAAGCGCTTCGTGCTGATGGACCATTTGGGGGTTTTTAAACCTTGCTTCTTACATAGATTAATCGCATTACCATTTTGTTGTAAATCACTCAGCACTCTGCCCTGACGAGGGATGAAACCGTACCCCTAACGACTATCGACGTCTACTTTACCTATTGTTCCCTTCTATTCAACACGCCATCGTTGCGTCTCCCATCAACCTCGTTCACCCCCCCCCTGGGGGGAGTTAGTTCTCGCAGCGCAGCGCGGTCCTCACGAGCCATTACTTGAGTCTGCGTATCCGCCGCTTGTCCAGAAAGTCGTCGCACTTCTCGATAAATTCCACCCACAGGGTGCAGCCGGTCTCGTCGTCCTCCAGGAGCCCGCACGTCGGGCACGACGACCGGAGGTTGCTGTACCACTGCGCCGCGCCGGACCCCGTCCAGTGGCAGTCGTTGTCGAGGTGGTCCTCGCGGACCAGGAACCGCAGCGCGCAGCCCACGGGCTTGCCGTTGGAGTTGTCCGTGCCGTCTATGCACGAGCCGAGAAGGTCATCACCACTATTTCGGGCGGGACTTGTGGTTAGCGTAGTAAGGGAAGGGGATCGGGGAGATAATGAAGGAGTGGAATGGAATGGAATGGAATGTTTGCATACCCAGTCCCGTAGGAATCGCCGGGGAACTTGACGAATACCTCGGCCGCTTTGTCGCACGCGTCCATGATGCTCGGGTAGAGCCCGCAGTCGTCCTTGTTGCAGCTCGAGGACGTGCCGGGCACGGGGGTGGGCGTGGGCAGGCCGTAAGGAGGCGACCATGTCGATGAGGTCGGTGTAGCCGTGGGACTGGCCGGGGGGTCTGTCTTCGACGTCGCCGCGCACGACGAGCCGGTGATGCACGCGGAGGCTCCCGGGGGGAGGCCCAGCGCGCAGCTCGTCCACGTCGCGGTCGAGGCGCAGTTGGATGGGAATGGCGGGGGCGTCTCCTGCGGCGGCAGGGTTGGCAGGCCACCCTCGCAGAGCGTCGACGTCTTGCAGGAACCGCCCCGCGGGTCTCCGTTGCAGAGCGTGGTGGTGTGGAGCGTCGACAGGCCCGTACATGACGTGGGGTCCGCCGTGGGCGCGGGCTTCGTTGTCGTCCGCGGCGGCGTGAAGTCGGGCGGTGTGCCGGTGGGAGTTGGGTTGCAGTAGAAGCCGGAGCAGAGCTTCCCGCAGTTCGTCGAGCAGATCGGACCGGGCTCTCCGCTCTTGTACTCTACTGGAGGTCCTTGAGGTCCGTTTCCGCCAGGGTTGCTCGGGTTATCTGGATCACCACCCGGGCTGCTGGGACCGCCCCGTATAGGACACGAACCTCCGTCCCCGTCCCCTGCCTCAATCTGACGCTCGAAAATACTCCTCTTCGTCAGGGATACGCAATTGGTGCCAAATCGCTGGCCATTCCAGAGGATATTATAGCCCGACGTGTCGTCCGCATCTGGTAGCAGTGGATCGATGGTAATAGGTCGAGCCCACTCCTGGATCTTGGCCCGAATGCTATTCGGGTCTCTTCCTCCAGTGTACTGGGGGAGTCCACGGAGATACGCGACAAAGCCAGCCACGATCGGAGCAGCTAAACGGATGTTGTCAACTCCCCATTTCAAGAGAAAGAAGCCTATTGGCATTTGCAAGTAAAAGGATGAACTTACCATAAGACGTGCCAGTAACCCAGTTGCCACTGCCGAGAGGCACTTTGACTCCCGGCGCATATATGTTGATGATATCTTCACCAGCATTTCCCGAAAACGGGAAACCCTGAATATCGACAGCGCCGGCTACGAACATGCCTGGAACTCTATCCCAGAAGAGGGCTGGGTAATGCTTTGCCGCCTCGCCGCTATTGCCGGGGGCCGCGACGAAGACACAGCCATACTTTTTCTCCATTTCCTGCATGAGGGAGACTAAGAGATATCATGTCAGCGTAAGCCCCGGGCGACGATCTATATCAAACGATGGGGAATGTAATAGATGAAATGAACTTACGGAAAATGGACCAGTAAAGCCTCTGTACTGGGCGTCTGGGGGGTATGCCCCAAGACATGTTGACAACGCAGGTATCTTTGGGCTGCGTGGCAGCGTCGTTCGCAATGTTGATCAGAGCCTCGAGGAATCGCTCCACTATCTCACCCTGGTTTATGGACGGCGTCTTGTCGTTACGGGTCTTGGTAGGAACCTGAGCAAAACGAACCCTGGCGTTCTTGGCCATTCCGAGGGCGTTGCCAGCGGCGAAAGCAGTCGTCCGTGAACCATGGGGCTTTTCGCTAGACTGATCGGGCATCTTGCCATACGTTTTGAATGGCAGTTCAGCAGCCCTGGCTGCGTATTCCTATGCAGATTCAGAATTAGCGACGTGCGGGAATGTAAGGTGATGAAAGTCATGAAGGAGACGGAGATGAATGAAAATAGCTTCTTACAGCCGCTGTGCTATCCCAACCTGAATCCATTATGTAAACCGTCTGACCCCGGCCCCAAGAGTCGTCGGCTGTTATAGTGTATTTGTCCCTCGGGGGGTCGTGGTCGAAATCGTGGGGCTCGGGACCGTGATCGAGAACATCTCTGGCGACGTTGAACGGGATCGCGGGCGGCCAAGTCAACATGGACAGATGCCACGCCGCATTGAACCAATTTCTCACCGTCCTCTTGCCGAGATGATGCCCAGGTTCGGTAGCGTTTCCCGCCACATCGCGGATTTCCACATTACCGCGGATGTTTACTCCTGGAGCATCAAAGGTCTTGTCGATACCTGAATGTTTTGGTACACTACTAGGTTTTTCATGATTCGACATCCTAAGGGGGGCGTTCCATGTCTCGAACCTCGATGTCTCCTGGAAACTAGGCTCATCAAACACGTAAGTCTCGTTGAAGCTCGACTCGTTAGACACGTCGCGCTTGAATGAGACGCCTGGGGGCAGGAATGGGTTCGACGGATAGTAAGCGAGCAAAACCTGAGAGGTCAGCAAGAACGACGCATGTGGCATGCAATGTACCGTGAACTGTCACGGAGTGGGAGAACGACTTACGCTTGGCACCTCCGCAGAGTTGAAATAGGCTAGGGCTACGGGACCCATGTTGTAGACATAATAGAAGGCCGTGAAATCCAGGTCGTCCGCCCTGAACTCGATGAAGTCATGGCCCAGGGCCAACTTGCGTCGCTCAAGAATAGCCCTTGTAGCCTGCTGGGTACCAGCACCTCGCGAGTAGGGCCAGAGTATGCCGTCCGGCCCAGGAGACTCGCCGCAATTCGACCAGTCTGGCTCGGCTCTGACTTGATGTGTCGTGCGCCTCACCAGCGGCAACGCGCCCCGCGGATCTGCGGTGGGCTCGAGCCATTCGGTCAGTTCCAGCGTCCTCTTCTGAAGCGTACAGGTGTCGACGGTCTTGGTGGCCTCGACGTCGCGGAAGTTGCAGCCTGTTATTGTCTCGCATCGTGACTTGACTTGGCTCGATGTTGTGCGCGTCTCATCGCCGGTTACGGTGGTCCCGAACGATGTCGTAGTCAGGCAGAGCGAGGCTTCAGCCGGAGTGCAATCTGTTGGCTTAGGCGGAGCTTGGATTGGACCTTTAGCTGGGATCCTGCCAAACGTAAAAGCCGTCAGCGTACCATTTCCCGGTCCTGAATTTGATTCTTCTTTCATTGGGGGAGGGGAGGGGGTAACGAGGCAACTCGTGCGTTACAGGCAACTTACGTGATTCGAGGCCAAGGAGGCAGCGAGCCCTTGATGGTAAATCCTGGGGGAAGTCTTATACGATCGATCGGTGGCGGACCAGGTCCCCAAACACCAACCGGCAAATCCCATTCCCAACCTTGAATGTTAATATTCCAATCGTCACCCCAGCTGATGCAGACCTGGACATATATTAGCAGCCGTGGAGTGGTGGCAGACGCCTTTATTTAGAACAATCACTCACAAAGAAGAACCAAAGTTTGCAGGTACTCTTGGACTTTCCCTCATCATCATCATCATCCTCGCCCTCGTCGGGGACAGGGGTTGGAACAGGCTCGAGGTCTACGTAAGGCCACACGGGCACCGAGGGGTCTGTGGTTGTCGGTATAGAGAACGGGGGCTTGACAGTCGTTGGGATCGTCTCCGGTGGGGGGTTGTCGGGTGCGGTTGGGAGTGGAAATCCTGGGAAGAAAGTCCCATTCCCAAAGGTCTCCGATCCAGACGTCCCAGGCCCAGGCGTCCCAGACCCAGAGTTTCCAGGGCCAGGATTTCCAGTGCCCCAGCTTGCGGGCGGACCGCGTGTGATGGCTGGCCATGGTGGCAACCTAAATGTTCTCGTCTCCCCTTCGATCACGGTGGTAACCGGGGGTATGTCGAGGCTCACATACGGGTGGAGAGTTCCGGTATTTTGGCCGGTGGAAATATTCAGGTTCGAGTAACTCAACGAGGTGACTGTCAATTGTGTCACGGTGACGGTTATCGTGGTCGTTGCGCCTCTGCTAAGTTGAATAGATGTCGTATAAGGCGGAATCGAGATGGTGGTCGGCTGCGACAAGGGGCTTGGCGGGAAGACGAACAGACATGGTGGCATGCATTGCGCTGGGGTTCCGGTGTACACGGAAGGGTCGAGATATACGACCTCTCTACCATCGACAGCGCTGCATCGTCACATTTCCTAGTTAGTGCTGGCAATGTACCGGGAAACGACAGGTAGTATAAGTAGGCGAAACTCACCCAGGATCACCTTGAAGGTCTATAGCCCAGTCGGTTGACCCCCTGAAGTTTAGCGACTTCCACTTGGCAATTCGTGACTGTTTATTTGCCGCATCCATGTACGCGACCCAAGTGTCTGTGAAAATCCATGGTGTTAGAGGACTGTCCAGTGTGAAGCGAAAGGTCAACAGGG